TTTTGTGTTATTTCCCCTTTGTCTAAGTTCCCCTTAACGTACAGGTAATAATAATAATACTTATTATTATTATTATCATTTCGGCATTACATGTAATTAACTTGGTCTAGCCTTGTAATCAAGAACCTGCCGATTGCTATGCCTAATATTAATAAAACTAGCTGATTTTTCATTCATTTGGTGCTCTGCCATTTTGGCAGGTCTTATGGCATCCAGTATTTTATAGCTGCCTATTCTCAGCTCTTCTCTTAATTTGAAAATAACTGTCACTCTGTTTCATTTGATCAGTGATGAAGAAAAACGCGCTTTTCCTTCTGTGCTTTTCCCAGAAGCGTTTTTAGTAGGCCTACTTAATTATGCAAAACCCAGGCCTAACTAAAAAATTAAAATTGTCATAGTATGTAACTCAAGTTAAAATAACCCTTTTCATTACTCGTGGAGCTTAATCAAATATTATATGTCATTTTAAACGACCCATTGGTATTATGGTAACATCAATGTATTTTAAAACAGCGACGTTCTCTCAGAAGTTGTTCTGTAGACGTTTATGTGTTGACCTTTTGACCTCCTGAATTCTGCAATGAGATTTTCGGGTCGATTCAGCCGAGACGGCCCGAGTGGAGTTTCATGTAAATGTTTCGTACGGGAAAAAAAATCGCTACCGGGCGTCCAAACGGTCCGTGGCGATTCCTTGAAGGGGTTATGCGATGGGCATTCCACTCTTTAACGACAGTATTCATATCATCCTAAATAAGAATAAAAGAAGTTTACTATTATTCAAATCCTAATTATAGGACTAAGTGTGGCATATACATCTACATTTCAGGGGTGCTCCCAGGATTTGCACGACGGGTTGAGGCCAAGGTCCCCGACAGGGGGAGCTGATGTCCCGACGAGAGCAAAGTGGGCCTGGTTGGACGTCGCTCAAAATCTTTCGAATATAGTCAAGGGGCGCCCCAAAATATGACAATTTAGGGGTTTCAAAGGTTTATTTTATCGATTTTAGAGTCTACTAATATGTAGAAACTACAAATATTTTTTTTCCTCCTCGACGAATTGTAGTTCTTCTCCCCGACAGGAAGGGGCTGCAGCCCGACCCCGCAGCGCTGTCACTGCATGCTACATTAATTTTGTAATGATCAGTTTAATCACTGAATGTATTAGGGCCTGCTAGCGTGTGTACAGTGACAGTGGTCAAGTTTTCGCTATGTCCAATGCCGCAGAAGTAGAGGGGGAGTAGTGGTGGTCGTCAGAACATAGCTAAAGAAGTTTGTGTCACTTCAAGGTGTCGGTGACAATGACCCACTTACCTGAATAAGCTTCATAAAACAAAACTGGATTAAAGATCTGTCCAGATGATCACCACTAAATTTCCCATCGTGCTTCAGTTTTTGAAACAAACTCATCCAGAATTGAGAACAGTGCTTTCTTAACATGCTCCACCAGCACTCAATTCGTTGGTTATGTTGGCTCGTGCCCTGCATAAATCCCCTATCATTATTTGAAAGAAACTGTTGTAACTGCCCCACGACAGTGTTTTCCGTTCCAAGATCTGTCCGAATAAACATTGGACATCCCATTTTCTTATGGACTGTATGCATATAATAGCCGGCGATAACTTTTGGATCACTACTGGTTGTATATGCATCCAACCAGATAACATTTCTAGAAAAACCGTCGATACAGCCATTTATACAAATTCCGTAGGGTTTAAGCTTGTCGTACGAATCGACATGCCATATGTAGTTTGGACCGGGGACATGATATATACGTCTTTGTAGTCGTTTGGTTCGCCTTAGCTCAACTCCATCTGGATCTAAATGTTCTAATATAATCCTGACCGTCTCTTTATCAACATTTATTCCGTTCTGCTTACATCTCAGATGCATCCACCGATATCCATGTAGTTGACCTGACGTTTGAAGCTCATTCTCAATAAAACAAGCTATATCCAACAGGTCTGAGTGATTTTTTCGCCTGAACAGGCCCATTTTCAGAAGTCGTCGCTTTAGAGTCCTTTTGCTTATAAATACATTATGCTTTGACAGCAGAATTGAAATAATTTCATTATAAGTCAATCCAAGGTGAAAATAACGCCGGATTAAACCCTGGCAACGAATCGGTGGCATAGCTAAGGTAACTGCCAGTTGTTTGCAGTAAATAAGTTTCGGTGTCGGGAATTAATTGTATGTTACATAAACAATATTAAAACATGGTGTGACATTCTCTATGATCGCCAAACGAAATCGAAAGCTGCAAGGAAAACACTGAAATAACTCGGAACGCAATTTAAGTCACATGATGAGTAGATTATTGGTTTTGTTTTTGAGGAAAATAGCTACTTTCCTTGACAGGAATATAGGTCTTTCCGGAGTATCAATCAAACTTAACAATGACCAATCAGAACAGCGCCAGGAAGGCGCGCGCCTCATAAATACACGTGTTGTCCCATAAACGTGCGTGTTTTCGATCGTCTTGTTGGACCTTAGCAACAATATTCAAGGGGCGGGGTTTTAGCGGAAAGGTCAATTGAATGCTTGACTGAGAGATCGAAATGCATTTTAATCCCGAAGCTACGGCTCCAATTAGGCTATAAATTGCTCATTATGCAAGAAGGAAAAAAAATGAAAAAATGAAAATTTGAGTAAGGACGAAATGTTACGACTTACCGTCCGTCCAAACGCCTGCGCAAAGCTCTGGCAGGAGTATGGTATCATCATCCTTTTATAGACGTCTTACCAGCAAGTGCATTTTTAGTTTATCAATTAAAATATGGCAAAATAACAATGTTACACTAAAACGAATCTACATTTAAATATTCAACGAGAAGTTGTTACATACTACAAGAGCAACACATAAAATAGAGAATGCTCGGACTTAAATTTGAATATAAAAGTATCCCGGGGCGGTTGGATTTGAATTTGACACTGCAGTATCTTTTAACGTTTCATCACAGGCAGGGGTTCGTTCGAGCTTACACAACCCTTCCACTGAGTGGAATTTGACAGATGAATATTCAGTATACATTCAGTGCGTGTGACTGTTTATTCTTAAAAATATAATGTAAGTGACCGCGTTAATCCCAAAAAGCTATAGCCGTTCAAAATGTAAGTCAGTTGCATACTTCTAAGAAATAAATAGGCCTTAGGAATAATTGTCGTATGATAATTAAGATACCAGAAGAAGCTTAAATTTTTATTTTTTATTTTAGAATATTTTATGGGGATGGTACATCCAGCCAGAGCTGCATGATCATTAGGGACCCTCAATACATATAAACAAGAAACAAAGGAAATAGAAACAGATTAAGAAATTCAATCAATCAATCAAACTTTCAATTTTACATTGAAAACTAATAGTGGCATTGCATAATAAAACATGCTATTATGACAAAATACACAATATTATATTCCTGGATGGAATATATTTGCATAGAGATAGGCCAACAATTACCTAAATTGTATGTGACTTCAGATACTCAAATATCTTAAATACAAAGCGCCCTCTAAATAGATCTTCTTATAGGATGCCCCTCGTCAATTACTTGACTACAGCAAACTGCTACATTATTCATAGCTGTTGACAACATAAGTAAACACACTAAACTGCTGCAAGTCGCTGGTTCGAGACGACTGGCATGATTAACATTTTCGGAGACTTTTAGAACCCACAACAACCACCAAGAAAATGACTACACGAATGGCAATCCCCATGGAGAGGTCAAATTCGGGATACCACCAGCTGGGCCTAGATGACAGGTACGTCGAATTCCAAAATGAAATACGTTACTTTTTCCGAGTTTACTATTATAATATGCGTTCTTTCTATTCTTTGTTCTCTACGCCACACTAATATAATTATAGACAATTGATGATCAAATTTTAGACGGTCATACCGTAGCCATATGTTCCGATTATTTAAACAAAAACAACTTAAAAATCGGAGCGTATATTAATCAGTATCAATTAGGCCTAATATTAATGAATAAAAGGATTTTTATCTGATCAAAAGAACAATTAAATTAGCGCCTATAGCACTGAACTGAAGTCCAAAGGGCTTTAAAACGTTGTAACAATTATTGCATGTTCAGCATTAGATGATTAAACATGAACTTGTTGTCAAGATTGCTACGCGTACTAAGGGAGCAGTCATAATACAGTGCTCCCTGGCGTAGTGTTTTCATATCTTGAATAGGCCTACATAATTTGACATTGAGGCCTATGAGAACACGAATATGTCATTAAAATGAGTTCCACCCCCTCTAACTTACCAACATTCGACACGTCAGGACGTTGCGCACTTGGTGACTGCACATGACACATTTATCATCTATTATTATCATGTATTATTGTTATTTTTATTATTATCAGTACTATCGTATTCAGTGGAGTGTTTGTTCTTTATACTGGGAAACCTGTTCAGTTGAAATCTGCTGTTCTCCCACATAACCCAGTTATGCTTTTTAAGAATTGTGGAAATGAAGATTTATCCAACATTATAAGTTTCATAGTGAGGTTTAGGGAGTCGGGTTAGTAAGTTTATTCCATGTTAGCACTAGCACAGTTAGCTGGGTTTGTAAAGAGGTTAATAATTTCAGTTTGAATATTGCTGAGTCCAAGGTGGACGTTAATGAATTACAAATAATATGATTGTTCTTTTGATTTGCTCTCAATTTCCTCTGATGTTCACAATGGGAGACGATACACACCATTAAAGATCCGAGTCGTTTTTACATTTTACATGTACATTTAAAATCTTCCTTAGCTTTAGCAATACATTTAACTTGCATCTTGTAATTGGTTTTGTATCATCACTCTCAAGACAAGTATAGACCTGGTTATTTTTCCCTAGACATCATTTTCATATTGAAATAATTTTACGTCTTCTATAGCTTCAATAAATAAAGCTTGAATAATACTTGAATATTTCACTGCTAAAACTCCTTAAAGTTACTGAAATTCATTCGTTTCCAAAATTTAACACTGTAGTATCCTTTCATAGTAAGCCCCACAATCGTCGACCACTTAGGCCTAGCCTACAAGAAGTAAATGTATGTGATCATGACTCCGTATGTCATAACCTCAGGATTTAGGGATTATGTTATATTTATTACTCTGTGGTTTATAGGCCCACAGTGAGCTCTTTACGACGGAGAAACTTTGCAGGTGGTGATTGTTTAAGGATGCTCTCTTGCACTCTCTGTTCGGTTTATGTTTAAATGTATAGACCGTGAACATAACATCTTAAAATCACTTGAAATTTGTAATTGCTTATGATTGAAAACTACTGTAGGTTTTGTTACTCATCTATTAATTATTATTATTATTATTATTATTATTATTATTATTATTATTATTATTATTATTATTATTATTATCATTATCATTATTATTATTTATTATTTATCATCATCGTAATTATTCATCATCGTCAGCATCATTATCATTATCATCATCACTATCATAATCATGATCATCATCATCATTGTTATCATCATTATTATTATTATCATCGTCATATTTATTACTATCATTATTATAATCATTATCATTATTATTATTATTATTATTATTATTATTATTATTATTATTATTATCATCATCATCATCATTATTATCGTTGATTATTCGAGGATCATTCTATGGCCTTGGTTCGAAGGCTAACTGGTAATGTTTGATTAGATATTTCGACGTTCAGTAGTCTCAAGGTGGTTCCTCTATAGTTAATTATTAAGCCTATTGTAATACTAAGGCACGCATACGATTTACAAAAAAAAAAGGAGACAGCTTACACAAGGATAAAGCTCATTGTATGTCGAGTGTATAAAATACAAAGCAAGAACGCTAGACGAACTAAAGACCAGTAGCTGGGTTATGAAAACTCAATCAACCGTGGCCTGTTGTCTGTTGCCTTAGCCACTGCTTGTGAAGCGAGTTGAGGACGTATATATATATATACTGTTTTTTTTAATTTGGAGATACGATATTATTTAATTGTTCGAAGTTAATGTTTTGTTTATAATGATAACGAGTCTCTTAAAGATATCCATTTCGTGGAAGAAATCTAGTGACAACAAATTTACTGTTTCAAATTCCGATGTTTAAAAAAAAATAAACATATTCTGTGTAAATCTTCAGCAGAAATACAATCTAAAATATAGAAAAATATAAAGCTAAATTAAGATACTCTATAATCTTTAATCTACACTATGATTCTTTATGCACAACTGAGTTTTTGGAAAGACAATGGTTATAAAATATTATAGTGATAATTACGACGATGATGTCGATAAAGCCATGATGATGAGATGATGGGGGTGGTGATGTTCACGATGACGGTTCCGACAAGAATAATGATGGCTTTTGTGATTATGATGATGGTACGTGCATATACTAATTATGATGTTAATGATTATGACGATAACATTAATTATACTGATAAGAATGATCACGACGATGACGATGATGATTATGATGAAAAACTCGATCATCGATTTAATATTATTAGTTAGGACAGGCGCGACCACAGTGTCTAACGATGATGCGAAAAGAAAACAAACAATAAAGAATGCTCTCATTATTTTGTAGAATTGCTTACGGAAACATACCGAAATGGATCGTCCAAGGAATGGATATCCCGAACCTCTACGATCCTCAAGCTACTTTCAAAAAACAGACCACGGTAAAGATGAATAGTCATGTGATTGTTGTAGACTAATATGGTATTATTTTACGGGAAGTTTTATTCTGCAAATGATCTTCAGCGCATTATTTGTTTTTATGCTATTTTATTTGATATTCATTAAGCTTATGGGAATTATTATTAATTTCTCAGTTGCGAACATTTTTTTTAAATAAAATTATTATTTAGCCTACATTTTTTTTAATGTCTCAATTAAGTCAAAGTGTCTTGCAGTACTTTCATGTCTGTCAACCATATAATATACATATATATATATATATATATATATATATATATATATAG